TCCAGATAGGTGACAGCCTATCCTCTCATTACCCTTTCCTCGATGATCTTGGATGCTATTTGGGGGAACTCACTCAGAAATAGATTCACTCTTCTTGGACAACAATCTGAGCTTTGATCCTCTAGACCCACAGGAACTACATGATGGTTCTGCAAAGACTTTACCTGTTGCGGTTTGGGACAGATGTGATGTCCCAGAGCCAGAAGTGTGGGATTTATTACTTATAAAAGAAAAAGACTCACTAAAGCATAAGACTAGGTACTGAGGAACTGGGACTCTTTTCTGTCCCTCTCCTTAACTTAACACTTTGAAGGTCACTGCTACTAAACTTTTTAAAGGAATCATTGCTCTTCAGTGCCTTCCAAGTTTAACTTTCCAGTTTAAGTTATCCAAGATGTGACTTTTGTAAGTGCTGTGCACTAACTAAAAAACTCATTTTCCCCTCTAGTCCCACCTTGGAATTACTCCTCATTAGTCTTGCATGGGTTTTCACCAGCATCCTCTGTGCCACAATCCTGTTTACTGCTCCTACCCAACACTTTCTTATATTGGCAATATGACCTGAAATCTCAGCAGAGCCTGCTCTCCTCTGATCCAAATTGCCAGCAGGTTTCAGAAGTTTTTTCTAGCATCTTCCCATTTCAGAATATGTCCTAATGCTGCTGGCAACAGAACAAGTGAGACTTGGAACTTCCCTTGAGTGCTAATCACAACTTACAGTTGCCTCATTGCAACTTCTCTCACTTCCCTTACATCCCATTTTAATTCCGCTGTGTAAAACCTTAGCATGCCTTTCTGTTTCCTTCTGTGGAGGCACACATGCACACTTATGCAAAGCCTTATGTCAAAAGAGACCACAAAGTCAGTGCTTGGTTAGGCTATGTGGGAATTAGCATTGCTTCTGCAGCTGTGATTTGCCTCCTTTGGTGTGTATATCGTGATTCAATTTTTAATTATGTGATTCCGTGTTATTTTTCTGTAAGACTTCTTCCATCCATCACCAGTGTATACTGTGCACCACGGATGAAGCAAGGTGAGGTATTGAAAGAAGCTGTTGTAGAAACTGTAAAGTGCATAGAGAACAAAGAGACCATTGGAAGAAGAATGTTCTACAAGCTAAAAGTTGAATGCTACACTGGAGAATTAAATTCCATCCTTTTCTTTGCCAAATAATTCTTATGTGGTTCTAGAAGAGCTATGTACAGCTGCAAACTGAAGTCAGTGGTTTAGCTTTTAATGGTAATGTGATCTATAAAATTAAGTGCTTTATAAAAAGTCTAATCCCAGACATCTCAGCTTGGACACCAAAACAACCTTACCTTAACCTTAGTCTTTCCTTAGTGTCTCAAGTTTTCATTTAGAAAATGCAAAGAATAGCTGTCCCTTATGTCAGCCAGCAATGTGAAAATAAGTTGGTTTTTTTCATCTTTTACTGTAGTGGTGATGTCATAAAAAGACTGAAGAAATTTCCGTAATTTTCTACTCTGAGCAGAGCTCAAATAGCATGAAGTGGTAGGATCAGATCTGCCATCAAGTAACAAGGATATAACAAAATACTAAAGTCACATGCTTAATGAGTACCATTCACCTTCTGTGAAAAAGGAGTATGTTCACATCATTACAGACTGTATAATACAGCATTTACAGAAATAAAATTGCAATTGTATGAAAATCCTGAATTCTGCTCTTCCAAAATAAGAGCTTGATTTAAAGTATAAAAACGGTCTTTCTATGTGGTGAAGGAGGTAGGGGAAAATGGAGGGTTATACTTGAGTCATTGACTTAGTTTTTAACAAAGCATTCTGTAAAAAGAAAAAAAAAATCAAAATTTCACCATGTGGTATCACAAGGCTCATCAGCGGAGTTGCTATAATCAGTTCCACAGCACAGTCCTCTGCCACTTGTGCTAATGAAGTGTTTGATAACAGTAGTAGTAGACTGTCAGCTTTTACAGCAGCTGACCTTACAGAGGAAGCAGGGTAAGCACTGTACTTCTTACATTTTGGTCAGGCTTAACTCCAACCTGTTGCAAGGGCTTGATGAGAGCAGAGACTCTTTTCTGGTATCTGACCCTACCCTAACCAGGAGCTGTAATTTCAGGTAATATCCTATTTAATCTCTGCAGTCCAGCAAGGTGGTATGCTTGCTCTGGAGGGCTGGCTCCTGCACAGTCCAGTCATGCATTGGGGCTGGCTCACAGGCTCACCAAAAATAACTTTCGCTGGTCTTAGAGAGCTGTTCAATCTCTATAGAGTGAGTGTATTCAAGAGAAGATTCTCAGATTTACATGGATTTTTATGAAATAGGAAAAGTCACCTAGCAGAGGCAGGCCTTGCCTTATTTCAAGCTGTTGTTCCAAGTCAGATGCACAGGAGCAATAATTGTATTTGTGTTTAATATGACACACAGTTCTTCCCAATCTTGAAGAGAAATAGCTGAAATACTTTAGCTGAAGTTTTCAGACAAAATACAGCTTGAGACAAAGATTTGGCTTTGAAAACTTCAACCTAGATGGCCGAGATATAACAGAGCTGAAAAGCAGAAGACAGAAAGGTATATTGAGTGTGCCTACAAGTGATGGGTGCCGCCTGCGGTAAGTTACTGCTATCTGAAGGCTAAATTTTGCTCCTGAAATTATAGGGAACAACCCTTGTTTTCAAAGCTTCTGGCTCAAAAGGAAGACTCCACTTCTGCTGCAGCCCTTTATAGAATTACTTCTGATTTTCTAGGCACTCTTCCTAGTTTAAAAAAGGGCTGGTGTGTTGCACTGGGGACTGAGATGCCTGACAAGACTTACATTTCTGTAAGCATTTACTGTAGCACTAGTTCTCTTCTAAATGATGCTCAGCTTGTCTTCCTTCCCTTCTCCTAGCTGTAATCCCTCTAAGCTTATCAACAGGCCTCTCGAATGGTCAAGTGGGTGGTGTTCATGGGCTGGATGGAAAGATGCATCCATTTAAGACTTAACTGCACTCTTGTGAGGGTGTTAACAAGTATCTAGCTGCTAAGATACCCTGATACCCTGCGGTTACCATTGAAAACTGAAGATCTGCATTAGATAAAGGAATTATGGAAGCTTTGTAAAGGGTTGAGATTTTGTGGTTAGAAAATTGAAATTTGTCACTTGCTGCATGTTCATTTTAGAGTCACGCTCTGCCACTTCCAATTCTGCAGCCTGTCTGGACCCCTAGGGCTGCCTGTGACCCATCTTTCCTTAAGTCTTGCTGTGGGTTCTAGTGTTTTTAGTGCCTCAAAAGCTTCTGTTGTAGAATAATTTCAGCTTTGATGCCTCAAATGCTGAATCCAGAAGTTCTATCTGATGCAATGAGAAAGTAAGCAGTGACCTGTCCCAGCCCAGCCTGCTAGGGAAGCAAGGCTAAATAAAAGAAGATGAGTGTGAGCCTGGTGGGAGGAACAAGTCAGAGAAAACAAACAGTTTGCTGCCTTTAGCTTGCTGGTAGCTTTCATCAGAGCTGGCTGAGGAGGGGGAGGCAGAGAACTGCCTGTGTGAAGGGAAGGAAGTGACAGCGTAGTCATTAGCAGACTGCGACCCTCTGTCACAGGGGCTCGTGAAATAAACGATGATTGTATTGAAGCATGAGGCTGGATAGAGACCTCTGTGCTAATTTAATAAATTGCTTGCATTTAGGACCCCAGATTGTTGCTGTTACATTTTTGCTATGTGATGCCACCTGGGATTAACAAGGAGGAGGGGATGGGGGGAAAGGAAGAAAGCAGCCCAGGTCCGTTAGCAACCACTGGTGTGACCTCACTCCTTGTCCCAGGGGGGATATGAGATCATGAGAATGCCAGAGCTCTCTGAAGGATTCGATTTGTTCGGTACAGCAGGACAGCCTGCCGAGTGATCTCATCTCTGAGACCCTAGGGAAGGGCGCTAGCTGCTGCTAGCCTCGTGGACTGCAGAGGACTTAATCCCCACTCCAAATCTCACCAATTAATGGTTGACCTGTAATGACATCACTGATGACAAAGCTAACTGGGACAACGCGGCAAAATTCCAGGGGAATTTCCCCTTCTCCATGATCTTACCAAATAAAAGAATTTTGACATGTCAAAAACAAATCATTCAGTCCAGATAATGTCATTGCAGATTAAGCATAGTTCTGGGCCCACAGCTTGCCCTGACCTAGTGCCCTGTCACCAGTTCTCCCTTTTAAACAGTGTGGGACAGAACATAAACACGTCCTCATTAAGACTGGGGAGCCCTATATTAGATAGCCTTATTTAGCCAGCTTCTTAGCCCTAGTCTTAAGTGCTTTAAAACAGAAATTACGTGATGAGAAAAAAACAATTTCAGTTGTTGCACCTCATGGTTGTAGTAAGCCAGGAGGGAGTTTATGTTACCTTGCAGGCGTCCTTCAAGGAAGGAAAGCTTTCCAATTGGAGTAAACACCAGAATAGCAAGGACAGCTTTGGTGAAGGTTTACAAAGGATGTTGCCCATTCTTTGAGGCTCTTTTGAGAAAGAAGTGTCTCAACCCACATGCTTCCCCCCTCCCCACCTTTTCTTCCTTAAGGTCCTCAGGAAGATTTGGTATCTCTGAGTTTAAAATGCCTTGAGGGTTTTTTCCAGGGCCAGTCTTTTTATCTGTGTACTGTACAAGATCCAACACACACCTGAGTGGAAGCAGAAGGATGCTAGCAAATAGGTAATTAATTTGATTCTTTGGGATGATCTAGAAAGTTGTCAGGAAGACCGATGTCACCTTACATTTAAATCTCTGTTCCTTCAGAAGGGTATATAGGATCAAAGAGACTTACCTTGCACTAAGGAACAATGAAGTGATAGTTATCCTTTCTAGGCACCGAGTTAAATGGCTGCAAAGAAAGCTGCATCTCACAAATACTGGTCTTTGCATCATTTAACAGTGCGTAGGTGGACAGTGAACACGAGTCCTATAAGCTTCAAGCCCTGCACCTGCTACGTGCGCTTCTTTTGAATTCCTGATAGTAATCATGTATCACTTGTTTGTTTTACAGGGAAAGTTTTATCTGGTTATTGAGGAGCTGAGCCAGCTGTTCCGCTCCCTTGTCCCCATCCAGCTATGGTATAAATACATCATGGGAGATGACCCATCCAGCAGCTACTTCCTAGGTGGGATCCTGATCATCCTGTATAGCCTCTGCAAGGTGAGTACCACCTCATTAATAACCTCTATGTGAGCTGTAGCAAGAGCAGAGAAAGAAGCACAGCTGAGGAGAACAAATATACCTTTTGATTGTTGCTATCACTACCTAGGAAGGGAAGCTGCAGCAGCTGGGGACACCATGTGCTTTAGTTGCCAAAAGCATTTTGCTTCACCAGTATGTGGGCATTGGTGAGCTAGAGGAAGATCTGTGACTGTTCATGTAGTGTTGCATCAGGCTGATGAAGTCATTGCTGCTTTCTAATACCTTTCTATGAAGGCTAGAGGAGAATAGGAGTGGAGTCTTGGGGAACCAGTACTGGAAGAGAGGTTAGCTGTCTCTAGACTTCTAGATGCAACACTGAAAGGAAGGTTGCAGACAGTTAAATGTTTCTCTCAGCCTTCCTCTGTCTTTCAAGGCACTCTGTCACTCACAGTACTGAATGCAGCAGGGAGAAGGAGGGTCATCCAAGTCCTGCCTGGGTAAAACAGGTAGTTCTAGCCCCATTCTAGGTCCTGGTAATTAATGTTTCCTTAAAAATAAGAATGTGAAGAGCGAGCACAAAGTCTGCCTGTACAATTGTAAATGCATAGGTGTGACTTATGTAGAAGAGTCTCAAGTCTGAGGTCTAGAAATAGTTGTATTTCTAATTGTGTGTGTTGAACCCTGCCTAGGGACAGAGCAGTAGCTGAAGCAAACAATGATACACCTGTGTTATCCATCCCTCTGAGAAAGGCCAAGTGAGTCAGGCTTGCTACAGCCCTGATGCTTGTCTCTGCCTAGGAGAAAGGGGCTATGGCTTTGCAAAAGCAGACTGAAGAACAGAGAAGAGACAATAGATCTGAGCTGAAAACAGCTCAAAGGAGCTAGTGGATAGCTGAGCAATACAAAATACTATAGCTCTTATGTGAGATGTGGCTGCAGTTGCAGCTATATGTTGTATAGGAATGGGGCAATGCAACCCCTGCTGTCAAGGAATTTACAATTTTTGTAGGCAAGATAGGCAGAGGAGGTCATGGGAGGTGAAGTGACTTGGTCACAGCAGGTCTGTGATCAAGCCAGAAAGAGAGCAACCAGTGCCAGAATAGAAGGCACATGAGACCAGTGTAGTTCCCTGCACACCCATCCATTCTCTCAGCTCTGTGTTTCCTGCTCTTCACTCTGTGCTGTGGGAGAGGATTGTTATCCCTTTCAAAGATGTCATTGTCTGGATCCCCTCTAGACAACTGTATCCAATCCTTCCATGCCCTTCTGGCTTGTGAGGTCAGGTATATAGATCACAGTTACAAGGACAGATTTCAAGTGATCTTTCTTGCAAAAATTACTCAAAACCCAGAGAAGAGATGCTTACCTGCAGTTCTACATGCCATTTCTTACATCTGGAGAAGTCATCATAGTGTGAAGAAGCAGTAGGGGACACCTCTTCCTTGGAGAAAGGGGAGCCAAGCACAAAAACACAGCTGGCAGGGCAAGGGCCTCACCAGCCAGGGCTCAGCCCCACAGCACACCCAAACAAGGCAAGCAGGGCAGGCCTGGAGGTGATAGCCAGGTTCAAAGAATCAAGATCTTCAGGTGGTGAGGCAGGTCCCAGATAAAGCCAGAATATCAATCCACAGGTCAGGATCAGGTCTGGTGAAGGCAATGAGGGTCAGACACAGTCCAACAATTGCAGGGCATAGCCATAGTGATGAGACAGGCTCAAGGTGGGAAGTCTCTTTGTGCTGGGGTGTCCAGATCAGTGGGATCTGTAGCTAGGCACAGGCATGGCTATGGCCAAGCAAGAAACTAGCACTCAAACAGCACAGCTCAAACATAAACTGAGGCCTCCATGGCAGAGCTTAAATAGAGCTCCTGGGCCCATGGGCAGGGATTATGGGTGGAGACCCCAGGTGAGGCTCGTCAGGGCCATGAAGGCCTATTAATGCAGTTAGGGCCCTGACACATAGGTGCAAGCAGTTCTTTATGAGCTAGCTTGATGTTTCCCTACTATGAAGCCTTTATAGGTGGTGTTGTGATAATCTAGATTGGAAAAGCAACCTCATTTTGAAAAGTTCTGCCAATCTGTTATTTAGACGCTCCATGAGGAGAGAAGAACAGCTGTCTACTGGCCTTGACTATAACTTAGGGCCAGTACTGTGGGGCACACTTGTGTGAAAGTGCCTTGGCTACAGCCTTTGCCTTTAACATGCATGTTTCTTCCTTTAATTCATCTAGTTCATCAGAGGTGTAAATGAAAGGATAGGCCAGCTGAAGGATGATAGGTCCAGGATCATGTCCCAGATCACTGAGTGGCAACTACTTAGTACCACAGATGTGTCCAGGTTAGGATTAGACCTCTGCATGCTAGAGACTTTGCTTGGAAGTGAAAGAAGAGTGGGAGCACACTCTTCCAATACAGATCATGAAATACTAGGTGCATGCATCCCATTTGCAATCACAAGAGTTGCAGGTCTAATTCCTTGCCTGAGACACTGAAAATATACCCAAAGGAGTCCACATTAGCAAAGCCACAAACCACATTAGAAAAACCACAGAAGCCAATTTGGCACTCAGACCTTCTGTGCTCCTGGCAAAAATCCAGGGCTCAGCTAGGGCTGCATCAAAAAAGCAGGCTCTACTTTCAGAAGGTTGTATATAGTGCAGCTGATGGGAGCTATCTTGGTGTCTCTGTCTGGACTGTGTAAACATGAACCTCTGATTTTGGCAAAGAAATCTCAGATGTTCATCAGTAAGGGCATCCAGGTCTTATTTTTTCCCTATTCTGAACAGAAGCACTCACTGTCTGTGAACCCAATTGTTGCAATCATGTTGCTAGAAAGATGACTGATGCAACATAGACTTCAGTGCGTGGGGTGATAAATGGATGTTAGACTACTGAAACATGGGGGTACAGGAAACTCCAGAGGAAAAAATACTGAAGGAGGGAAATGGACTGGGAGAAGAGGAGACATCAGAGCCAGAGCAAAGGCATTAGAAGGCACACTGTAAGCAAAGCAACCAGAAAAAGCTGTGAATTGGACTGTAGGAAAGAGCTGATCCCTATCCTTGTTAGAAGATAAAAAGTCTGTAGTAGTCGGCAGCCTCAAGTGCTAGTTGCTGACTGGAAGCATTACTGGAAGGACCCTGGGAGCCTTTTTACGTGCTGACTGGAAGCATTATTGGTGCCTTCATTGGATTCCACATCTATTGCACGATGATCTCATTGGCATTCCCTGCAGTGAGCCCACTTAATCATGCTAACCAAAAAAAAAAATAGAAAGCCAACTCCAGGCATTCTGGTGCCTTTGTACTGCTAGTCCACTACAGCTCTGCATATTCTGCATCACATCTTCCCCTGCCCTCCTAGCCGCTTCTCACACAAACAGGTTAGAAATGGAAAGGTCCCGTTATGTCATCTGGCCCTTCTCCCAACTAATGTAGGGCTGTTCTTTGCACAATCATTTCTTCATATCTTGTCTAGTTCATTGTGTCTTTTTCCCTGTGTTTTGCCCACAGACAAGGAAGATGAAGCTGGCATACCGGATTAGGTTTTCAAGCTGTTTTCCCTTTTATTAGCAGTACCATGTCTTCACTTTAAGAATGCTGAGTGTCTCCTCCCTTGCTCAGCCTCTTGATATTTGTAGGCAGTTTATCATCTTTTCCCCCCACTTTTGTGTTGCTCAGCCAAGCTGTAAATATTTATGTCTTTTAGTCGCTTTTCAGAAATCATTTTCTGCAGGCTTATTTTCTGCCCTTCTCTGAACTGCTTTTAGTCTTAATAAGGAGCCCAGAATGAGCGCTGCTCTCCAGGTGCAGTTACATCATGTTTGCTGGGCAATGGAGGGAGGGAGGGAGGGAGGAAGAAAAGGACCTGGTGTTGCCCCTGCTGTTGGCCATCTTTGGGCATCTGCAAAGTACCAAGGTGCTGGAAACTCATTCGCTTCCTGGCATTTGAAGTTTCTCACTCTTTAGGTGGATGGGAGCAACTCAGCCTCAGTCCTGCTTCTCATTCCTCAGGCCGTTCTTCTCTTGGTAGCATTTAATCACTGCACTCTGCTAAATCACTCTCTGCAGCAGGACAGGCAATTCCCACTCCTTCTTTCATAATATCATCTGGGCCCTGAAGTGTCAAGCTGTGTGGCAGAGCTGCAAAGCCCTGGAAATCCCCCTTTTCCCCAGAGGCTGAGGAAAGCCGTTTTCTGCCTCTTTTATGTGAAAAGACTGCCCTTCCTTCCCTCTTTCTCAAGCTAGCTGCAGTGTTTTCTAACCTCACTTCTGGGCTTTTCAGGTACTCAGTTCTCAGGGTGGGAATGGGTCCATTTTAGCCCTTTCCTACCTAGTTGGGCTGGGCAATTTACCCTACCACAACCCCCTGATGTCTGCTCCTCTTTCTGTCCTGTCCCTGATTTGCAGTCCATTGTTACCAGAGCTTTTTTGGCTACCCTTCTGTACTGTCAATTCACATTTATTACATATTTCATGATCACCATGAAATCTTTTTTGGCACCATTGTTACTTAGGATCTTTGTTCCCTCCAGTATCCATTTGGAGACACTGTTTCCTGAGTTTCTGGACTGTACACACACATGCACATGCGCATGCACACACACACACACATTTTGTGAAAAGTATCTAAAATGGAATGCCTTTATTGCAGTCTTTTGACATCTGTGGTCGTGTGGGAAGTGTCCGGAAGGCACTGAAGGTCCTTTGCACCCCACAGGTAAGTGGTCGTACATATTAGACCAGTTTCGTAGGTGGAACCTTGTTACTATTGAATGAAGGAGTTGAAAATCAGTGTATCAGGATCATAGAATAAAATGATTTGTTGTCCCATGGCTGGATAAGCTGGTATCTCTTGTCAGGGATATTAGGAACCTTTTCTGATATCTGCCCTGTCCCAGCTATGGTAAGAGATTGTTGCTAGTCTGGTTGGAAGCCTTATGTAATATGGATTATTCCATTAAGGCCAAAACCGCAAGAAGCTGGCAAAACTTTGTAGTACAGAGTGTGAGTAAGACTTTAAATAGAATTATGTAGTGCCTGATGTGCAATGACATTAAAGGAGATCCTACAGTGCACAGAAATTATCCCAGGCATCGCATTGTATAGTACTGATACTTAGATCTGTTGCCGTGAAATACTGTGACTTATATTTTAAAATGGTAAAATCAAAGACTGTAGAGGAAAGGAACATAACATCACAGAAGTTTGTTAGAGCTTGCCTTGCTTATTCTGTGGGCTTGGGCCGGTCATTTTCTTCAGCATGTTTCCATTTCCCCTATTACTGTTACAATAGGAGAAGCAACATTTACCTTCCACATATTTAAAAAGAAAAGTGGGAAGCCTGTGGGTGCTGCTGCTGTTATTCTTTCTTCTATTGTCTAACTTGCTAATAATAATACCTCCCACTATCTAAACACCTCTGCAAATGATGCTGAATTAATCCTTTCAGCTCCCTGTTGAGCTCATTAAATTTCATTATCATTGCTCCACAAGTGGAGGCACTAAAAGATGGAGTCAGCTCGAGGGGAAAACAAAACAGAGAACACAGAGCTCCAGACTCCCTGTGTTCTGTGTGCTGGTGCCGAAATCTCCCTTCCCCATACACAGTGACATAACACCGGTGTCCTTCCCAGGTCATGCAGGGAATCTGGGTGTGAAAAACAGTGCCTTATGTATATGCTTAGCCACAAACCAGATTATCTTCAAACCCTTTGACATTGGGATTTTTTTCCATCTCTCCCTAACAGACCTATGGAGTTCGTGCTACCAGCCAGCAGTGCAGTGAGGCAGGTGACATCTGTGCCATTTGCCAAGCAGAATTCAGGGAACCTTTGATCCTTATGTGCCAGGTAAGACCACAAGCTTCCCACGTCAGGTTCCCCTGTTGGCATTCATTTGGTTAACTTCTGCTGCTGGGGAGAGGCACAGTCAGCCTGAGTACTTCTAAAATCATTTGCTGGGTCTTGATCTAGGTCCTAGTGGATATTTATTGCCCTCTTCCGGATAGCCAGTGATTCATGATAGCTGAGCCACTCTATAGGGGCTGGTCATTGAGATGGAAAAGACCAGCCTTGTAGTCCAGGGACTGCCAGTTGGCAGTCCAGACCTTGGATCTAGAATGCAAGACATTTTTATCTAACCCTTGGGGAGACTGGCTAGTCAATAGGCCAACCAAATTATGAGCAAGTGCTATGAGAGGGGCATAGATCCAGGATGAGCCTGATAGGATGCATGAAGGCTGGTGCAGCACCGTGTAATCACGGTTTGGCCTCTGAACACCTGGCCAGGAATAAAAGTAGTTCTGCATATAGAAATTGGTCGCCGCTGCCAGCAGCTGGGAATTGTTTTGTTTCTCTTTTGGTAAACACTGGCAAAACCTAGAGCTTAAGAATGGCATGCTCGGAGTAATGCAATAGTCCTAATCTGGTGCTGGTAAAGCCCTTCAAACACACCACGCTGCCCTCGGTTCTGTTAATGTATCAGAGGCCAGCTGAAGGCTCATGGCAAGACTTCCCCAAGATTTTCTCTTCAGTTGCTTATAACTCGGTCAGGCTTTGTCTGTTGGAGTTGAAATCCTGCATCCTGGAGGCTGTCTTTGGCTGATGTGTGGGTGCCTGCGGGAAGACCTTAGGCAGAATGATTCAGCCATTTCTGGGAATGGAATTGGTGGGATATATGCTCTCTTGTGATATCAAAATAAAGCTCAAGAGCCTTTTTCTGAAGAGCTTTAACACTCCCATGCTTTGTAACAGGGTTATCAAATTAAAGCAAGTAGGTCACCAGTGCATCAAAAGTGCCTCTTACTATTCCTGTGAACGTCTGTGCAGATGTTATCAAGCTGTAAGCCCCAGAGAAGCTCTCTTTGTATGTGCCTATCAGAGTTGAGATTTTGATGAGTAACATTTCTGCTGACTCCACGTGTGTTGAGGAGGTCTCCGCTTCTTGTAGCTTCTAATACTCCCTTCTTGCCCTATTTCTGCTCTTCCAGTCTGGAGTAGATGGGGTGTGTGCTGGACAGCCATCCCTCCTGATCTCTGTTAGTACCCAAGGCAGTCTCGGGGGAGAATCCTGTTGTGGCTCAGTGTAGAAATGAGAGGAGAAGATAAGGGGTGAAAACTGACATTTATAGAGAAGGGGAAATGGGAACTGCGAAGCTACTGACTAGGGCTGGGTGGTGTGAGCAGAAAAAACCAAATGCAGTAAGGAGTAGGGGGAAGAAAGGGGATTGTTTGAGCTAAGTAAAGACTTGTAAAATAACCCAGGGAATTGAGGATGGAAAAAGGGTAGAGAAAACCCTCTCAACTACTTTGTTATCCCAAATGTCATAGGCCTTTTTAATGTTTCTTTCTATTGCTGTATCATAGCATATAGTCATATATCATTACCTTTGGCAAACTGATGTACTAGTAATGCTGGGATTTATTTTTCATATCATGTGAGTACTGCTAATCAGCTGCACTGTCCACCTGAACTTGAATCATTACTGGGTCCCTATTAGTAGCTGTCCTATTGAGTGTGCATACTTAGTGACAAGACCGGACCTCCTGCCCTCATCGTGATGATGCCCTTTTGTCTCCGCAGCACGTGTTTTGTGAAGAATGCCTCTGCCTCTGGTTTGACAGGGAGAAAACCTGTCCTCTTTGTCGTTCTGTCACAGTAGAAACCCTGCGTTGCTGGAAAGATGGCACCACCTCTGCTCATTTTCAGGTGTATTAAAATCAATACATACCAACAAATGGAGTACCATGTGCGGAGAGAATAAAAAGCTGAAAATCTGGTGATCCCATGTCCCTATTTAGTTGCCTGTGGATTTGTTGTCTTAGTCTTTCTTCCAGCTCTGTTTCTCCAGGAGCCAACAGAACAACAACTGTTACTAGCCAGAAACTTTATCCTCAAAGGCAAGAAAGATGTGTTTTATGTTATGGCAAACTCCATGGCTAAGCTACAGCCAAGATTTTTTCTTGAACTTACATGGTTATAAACTGCCTGGGATGTTTCCTTTTTTTCTGTCTGTTTAGTATAGATAAATACTGCGTGTATAAGGCAAGAGTACTGTGAATTGCATGTGTATACTGGAAAAAAAACGGTATACTGGAAAAAAAAACTGGTATACTGGAAAAAAGCCGTCCTCCTCTGGCTCAAACCACTGGTGGGATTTTTCACATTAAATGGCCCTAGCTTCCCTGAATCTGTAACTTCATAGAATTACGCTGTTGCTGTTATATTACCTTTGAGAACTCTTCCAAAGCAGTGCTTCAGAACCACGTGCCCAAAGTTTATTTGGGGTTGGAGAAACATCATTTCCCAGCAGCCGTGTTTTGCAGTTGATTCCACAAATTGCACATGTTGTCATCTTAATGAAACCTCAAGGAACTTGGGAAGGACTATGCTAGTGAAGCTGGAAATGACACTTGCTTTTCTTGAGGATGTTTTTCCCCTTTAATTTTCATGATCGGACTTTCTGATTTCCTAGCATATGGGGAGAACAGTGGGAGGAAAGGAGAGATTAAAGTCAAGTTTGATCTGTCTAGGTGAAAAGTTAAGGTCCTAACCAAGAGCATCTCACAAATTCAGGTGTCTCTGCAATACGCTCCTCGGCACAGCCACTTGAGGCAAGGCTTACTGGCTTTAAAAACCAGCGCCACTCAGCATCCAGAACCCACCTGGCTCCAACGCCAGAAAAACTGTGCTCAGGCAGTGCTGAGCCCACACAGCGCTGTTGATACCAGAAGTGCTGGGGCGTCAGGATACAGGGCCCCTGGAGAGACTGGATTTAGTGAGATTTACTAGCTTGAGGGCAGTTACACAGAGGCAGCTGCATCGCTTCAGGAGCCAGCCTGGTTTATTCACAAGCTGGATAATCCACCTGTGATAGTGGAGACTTGATTGTAACACCTCCGCTTCAGAAAAAGCTCTTCTAGGCGATACCTTCTATCGTTAACGCAAGAATTAACATACGTTATATTGCTGCAGTTTCCATCTCAGCTGAGGGTGCTGCAGTGTCACTTGCATGCAAATGGAGTTGCTGTTTGTTCGCTGGAGCTTTCTCTTTCACTAAACAACCTCTGCTTTTTGCTGCACGCCCAGAGAAAGTGCCTCATTAGGCAACTGTGGCATCTTCCATGCTCATTACTATGGAAATGGCCGTAAGGTTACAATCCCACTTGAGTGGATAATCAGGAAGAACTGTACCTGGGGGAAATGAGCCTGTGTATGTACTGACTGCCGCCTTCCCCTCCTGCTGTGAAACTCCACAGGGCGAGGAATTAAAGCAAACAGGAGCTAATGGTAACAGGATTAAGGCTCAACATTTCTTTGGAAATAATAGTTGAGTATGGCTAGAGGAGAAATGATGAGAGGCAGAGCCTGAGCAGGGAAGATAGTCCAAATCTGGCTTGAGAGATACAGGGAAGTAGAGGAGGAAAAGCTTTACTTTCCGAAACAAAGTGATTTGATTCTTGTCAAATGGATCCCGTGGAGGTGGAGAACTAAGCCAAGGAATCCAGTGGCTATCTCCAATGGGAATAGCCTTTCTGGGATGGCGAAGAGAGTTTAGTAAGGAAGGAAGGAAGCAAGGTTTTTAGTGGGCATAAAAATGTTGTTAGGTACAATAGTCTGGTATACTCACCAGGAAATGGGAAAGTTACTGATTCTGCGGGCAGGCAATTTATGAAAGGTTTCAGCATCAGTTTTCAGTGCAATGCCAATTAATTAAGGGGATGGCGGTATCTGCTTTCAAAATGTTTGAAAAGCCACTTCTAATTCTGTTTTTTTTTCTAAATGCTCCTGGAAAATGTATTTGGAGAAGTGTATGAAAAGGTCAATATGAGCCTAACACTACAGATAGCATTTGATACACCGTTTCAAAATTACTATTTTTTATTTGGTGATAAGGAAGGAAGGCAATCAAAGGGAAAGTACGGGGAATATTTTTTGCCATTCTTATAGTCCTTCTTTTTTCTTTACTTTTTTTGTCCTTTATTGAATGATCTTTCCCAGTTGTCAGTGTAAGAAAGAGGGGACTATCATCATCACACACTTGAAACCCTTTGCTACAGCCCAAGGACTCGGAAAGATCACACAGTAAGACTTCTTACCAGCACACAGTGGAAGAATTGCCACGTACCTCGGATGTTTCTGGTACCTGTGTAAGAACCCCCACACTAGCATCATCATTTTCTAAAGAACTTCTAATGATTAATTTTTCTTTTGCTTCATCTCAGTGATCCCTTCTTGATTTTTGCTTTCCCTCACTGTAAGGCAGCATTCTGGGTCCCGTACGGAAGTCTGGCTCCTCTGGTGATGTGCGTCAGTGGCATCCGACACCCGTGTGCTGGTGACCCATCGCGATTCTCCTTTGTCTCTCCAGGAAGGTGGGTGGTTGGGTAACCTTTGAGACGGAAGGCTTCTGTTGCTATTCAGATACCTCAGTGACAAAATGCAGCACTGCGATCTGGATGCGAGACCTTCATTATGGGAAGAGCCTGTACCTGAGAGGACACCGGTGCCCGAGACTTGGTGGGCCATCCAATGCTCTCTGTTAGAATTAGTTAGTGCTAAACAGAAGGTGAAATTTTATGCTGTGGATATTTATTCTACTGGAAGCATAACAAAGATCAGCTTAATTCCTGCAAGATTAAAGAATTTACGGCAGGCCACTATTAGATAGCTGTTAAATTAAACCAACATCCTTCAGTCCCTATTCTTCTGGCTTGGATGCTGTGGGAGAAACAGCTCTGTGCTGTTAGCAGTCTGTCAAACCCTCCCTCCTTGCGTATGTTACGGTGACGGTTTTGTGAGGCAGGACGACTCTACCCTCTCCTAGAACATGACATTTGGACCAGAGAACATACAGGGGAAACTTCAGTTCTAATGACAACTGATGAGAAACTTCTGTTGATTTCCATGGGAAAACAGTTAGGGTTGGGGAAGGAAATTAGCCGCTCAAATTTCACAGAGGAAATAAAAACCGGAGCCTTTTTTCGCCATTGAACAGTTGTTTTTCTTTTTTTTAATAAAGTCATTATAAATATGTACAAAGAGTCTCAGCATATGAAATTCCTTTTACAAAAGAGAGAAGCCACATCCAACCATAAACATGAACTCGTATCAGCAGTGAGCATATGCTTTGCTCTTGCTTTGGTGAGGGTGGAAACTTGCACAGTGACTCTGCAAGAGTTTACATCCAGATAGTACTAAATCAGTAATGTACAAGGAATTGGGTATTCACTGCGTTTCATCCGTTTTATTCTGTTAGCAACGCATCTGGGAGCAGACTGGGAAATCTGCAAATGTCCTAAGGACTAAAGATGATGGGAGGAGTTTTTCTTGTGATAAACTGTGGTCTTCAAATTGATTGGAAAGGTTATGCTGTGAATACCCGTGAAAATTAAATCTCACTATAGTTAGTTTTGCTCTTTACTTAGGTGGCATCTGTAACTAATAATGGATGTAACTAATAATGGCATTTCAATACCCAGATGCTTTCAGTGAATATTAGTCAAGCTCCAAAGTCACTTTCTGTAAATATTAAAAAACTTGTGAAATTCAAGTACTCGGGTATTCATGCAGAATGAACACTGAAGAAGTCTGATCGGAGTTACATGAAAATTCACTCGTATTCAAATAAATATTGTCAGCAAAAAATATTCACTTGTTTTGTATTTTGTAGTTTTAAATTTCTCTTGCAGATGGGGAATGGAAATTCTGCAACTTTGACGGGAACAGTCAGCTTTTTCCCACAACTGCTAAGGGCAGAGCTGCTGTTTGGAAGACCTGAGTTCGGGAGTGCATTTGGGGTACGTGCTGACGGAGATTCTTGTTACGCAGATGGCACGTGATTCAAGCCTGTAGGATTGGCAGCGGGACGCACAGCAGTGTCTTATGCTGGGGCCAGGGATATATACCTGCGCTATGCGCAAAGACAGCCCTTCGAATGAAAAGGACTTACGCATTCAGACCAGGAGAGAATTAGAAGACGGAGACAGGAACAGCACGCGAGGATTCCTCTCCTCCATTCAGTCTAGCTGATACATCAGTGTTTTCCTAAGGAAGATCAAGTCCTTGTTATTAGGACTTGATATTTAGTCCTAATATCAAGCATTAGACTTTCCTAGGCTTTTGGATTCTGAATTAACAAGGCCAGTGTCTCCTAACCTTTTGTACAACGAGAGATGAACACGTTTGGCTCAGCATGCAGCAAGCAGCGCCTTGCGAAGTGTTCTACAAGAATGAGGCTAATTTTGAAGCTTGGATTCAAAATCAAATTTGCTCTAAGCAAATTTGCCCTAGGAAAAGTTGTGAAGATATTGTTCACCTGTTGTGGAGGTAGAATATAGCCAGGAGGTTAAGTATATCTCAGACTTCTGTCAAGATCATGGACAGATGTTTTAAAACCATTTGTAGGAAAATTAAAATTAAATATTAAGGTAGATGTACTATTCTGTCCTCAGCATGAACCATTTTGTACATGGTAGTGCAGTTTTCAGAAGGGAACGATCTCCTTCAGTTTTGCTTCCCCATTCTCCATTGCCACCCCCAAAGTGCGGTTCTCCCCTGCCTGCTGGACCCGCGAGGAACACGGCGATGGCCGTATCTAACCAAGCTGTTTCGTCTTACGAGGCAGCAGGGAGAAGTGCCTGATCCCAAGGTGCTTGTGGACATGGAAACTGCACCCGTTTAACCTGTTTGTCATCAGTTTCGTTAGGAGGCACTGC